GTCCTAGGACCTTTATGAGTGGCATCTAGCCCTGGATAGGATGGCTTTTTAGCACTGTCATTCCCTGTTTTACTTTCCTAGCCCAGCGGTTGACAGCATTTTAAAAAAGAGTGAAGTCTCAAAGGAAATTCTAACACATACTTTAAGAGCCCAAAGCCCGTGGCTTTTCTTTACATTCAGTATCACTTTAAAAGAACGAGATAAAACTAAAACAAAATTTTAAGTGTTAATCTGAAGAAGTAAAAAAGAATTGAAAGAACTAAGAGCCAGAGACGATTAAATGTGGAGCACTTAGTCTAGTGATCATGTGGCAGAAATGGCAAAAGGGGGATTCATTGATGAGGTTAGAGAAGGCCTAGGCTGTTCCTTTTGTCAGTTCTGCTCAGATGTACCCTCCTAGAATATTTTGTACCCATTTGTTCTGGAGGGGCTGGGACTCTGGTGCCTCCAGCCCGAGGCATCCTCAGTCTTTGAGGAGCACACAGGATCTGAAGTCAAAAGCCCTAGGTTTGAGTTCTGGCTGAGCCACTCAGTATCCACGTGACCTTGGAGAAATCACCGAGTCTCTCTAAACGGTCCCTGTACAGTGAATGTAACTTCTACCTCCCAAGGTTGGTGTGAGAATTCTGTATGTGCTAAAGCATTTTGTATATAAAAATGTTTTTTATGAGTATCACATTTTAAAATATTTTTTTTTATTGATTACCTTAGAGAGAGGAAAGGAGAGGGAGAGAGAGAAAAACATCTATGTGAACACGAAACAGCCATTGGTTGCCTCCTGCATGCCTCCCACCAGGGATTGAGCCCGCAACCTGGATATGTGCCTTGACTGGGAATCAAAGCAGCAACCTTTCGGTATACCAGACGATACCCAAACAACTGTACCACACTGGCCAGGGCGAGTACCACATTTATTCTTGGGGAAGCCCTACCTTGAAAAAGATGTCAAATAGAACAGTTGTGGATTAAACTGTATTCTTTTTTTCTTCACTCAGCTTAGCCTTTCTGTTCGGTCAGGCCTGCTTATAGGGGCTGGTGGTATTGAAATAAAGTCACCAGATTTCAGTTCCTTTTGGTCAAAGAAAGGGAACTGTGTGGCCTGCTGCCCCATCCATAGACTCAGGCAGAATGGAAGTGAGCAAAGGCAAATTTGAAGCCAAGATAGTTCAGTTAGGGGGCCAAGGGGAGAATGCTTACCTTGCTTTCTCAAATCCAGGATGACTAAAACATCTTAAGTAAATGAGGAATAGCCACAAAGATGCTTAGAGATCCTCTAAGTCATGAAAGGGAAGTGGGAAAATGTGCTTATAAACGCTCCCTCTTTTCTATCCCTTTGGAGGCAGGGACAGGATATTACTGAGACCCCACTGGCTATTGCCTGAAACCTGACAACCACCCAAAGAGAATCATATCTTCTGGGAAAGCTCCATTCAGTGCAGTAACTGTGACATATTTGCCTAGTAGAGCCACTGCTTGCTCCTCTCCAATACCTCTCTTGGGGAGATCATCTCTGGATCCCAAAGCTCTCCTGCTTCTAACCTAACAAGAGTTAAGAACAATAGGGCATGAGCAGTCAGAGACTGCCTCACCATCCACAGCACACAGAGCATGAACTGTACTATTTCCAGCATGAATCAGCCCTGAGACGTCTCAGACCCCTCGCTTGGGTGCCAATTGTCCATTGTCCATCCCTTTCTGGCTCCTTCTCCTCCCATTCCCAGGTGACAACTGGTCCCCAAACTAAACAGCTGCCTGCATGTTGATAATGTAACTTTTTAATATTCTTTGGTTATAGCTGAACCTCTGCTGTTGGTATGAGTTTTGGAGAATTTGATTGAAATCTAGTTGCTTTTTTATTTTTTGCTTCTGGGAAAGGGGAGGATGACTAGAATGAGAGAAGCTATGTGTATGTTCATATCTGTATATGTATGGCCATATATGTGCACCTCATATGTATGCGTATCCTCCTGGTCGTGTGCACACTGGGAGGGCAAAGCGTGAAAAGGAAGCATCTCTTGTTTTCCAACATTGCTTCAAAGATGCCCAGCCCCCGTAGTAGCAGGCAGCCCCTAAGTGGAGGGTGGGGGCAGAGGCCTCCACCGAGGCCATCAATAACCAGGTGTGAGCTGGGGTCTCTGTGTAATGTGAAGCTCTCCCGTATTTCATCTCTGCACCCAGGGGGCGGCTCTGCAGGATTGCTTACGGAGAGCTCTGTGTCTGGCACCTCTCTCCACAAGGCCCAGGCGCCCAGGGTCCCACCGACCTGCCCAGGAATGCATCACATTGTTCTCTGGTGCTGTAATTGGGTTGCAGGAGCCTCTCAGGGATGAGAAACATACTCTCCCCGGTGTCCTCACTTGGGCTTCTCCCTATGACCACTGAGGGCATTTAAGTAAAACCTCAGAAAATCAGAGGGGGGAAAATCCTAATAATCTCTCTCGTATTAAGCCGATGTCCGGAGTGGGCCTGAGAATTTGGCAGGGACTTAGCGGTTGGTGTTCTTGCTGAGGGAGGTGAGAGAAAGGAGAAGAAATTACTCTCTGCTACAGGGAGGAAGAGAAATGAGGCAGTGAGCGGTCATGAGTCAGACCTACAGGATTGTTCACAAACAGACCCTCACAGCCAGGCAGTACTTCATTCTTTTAAATAGTCTAAAGTCTCTGATTGAATTTTTTCAGCATCTCTGAGGAAGAGTATGGATTAGAGCTGTCATTCAGGGTTGGCAATAATACAGGTTGGCTCTTATCTCCAAGGCACGGTGAAGGCTGGCATCCTTACTGTTCCATAGAGAAACTGGCTACAGGCATGCAGCAGGGGCACTGCAGTCACATGCCTTCCCTGAAAGATTCTAAGCTCCTTAAAGGATAGAGATAACCTCTTTTAAGTTAGCTTTGTGTCCAAATAGCACTTTCTGCCCGCCTTTTACCTAACTATTAAAAGTGAAAAGAAATGAGGACCAATAGGAAAGAGTGGAGAGGGGCTGTGAGACTGCTGGTCTGAGGGACAGACCGCTGTTGGATAGGAGGGCTGCGAGAGGGGAGATTGGAGGCAGCGAGGGAGTAAGTAGTGGCAGAATGACATGGAGCCCCGACTACACCAAATAAAGTTCTCATTTTGCTGCTTGTTCCAAATAAATTAGTTTCTGTTTGTATAGCACAGAATAGACGCCAGTTGTCTAAAGCCAATCGGAATGCACAGGCAAGCTAAGGAATAAGAGGCATAATTAATGGCTTGGCCATCATTCCTTCTTGGAGCCACATAACCTCTGTGGTGGGGCTCACGTGGACCTCTTTTCTCTCCCTACCCGCCTCACTTTTCAAACCTCTCACTCTCTGGACAGCTCACTCTTCGCCTAACCATTATAAGAAAATGCAGAATGTGGGTCTTTATGAATCAGAATTTGGATGCCAGAGAAAAGCATAGAGCAGTGTTAAATGTCAGAAGAGGCCCATTCCCTCCCTGGGCTAAGAACGGAAAACATAGATAATAGAGACAAGTTGATTTAACTCAGGTTGATGTCCCATGGAAGGCCCATGCTATCACTTACGTGATCACCTGGATATTCTGAGAGAGCAGGGGTTAACAGGGCCCGGAGGCTCTTTCCAGCAGCCCAGCATACAAGACAGCACCCTTTTAGAAATTCATTCAACTCTATTATTGAGTTCAGACTGGCTGTAACCCTCTTACCTTCTCACTACACTGAGGCTTTCCTCCTCTTAATCCCAGCTCAAGATGTCAGAAGCTCTTCTCTTCCCTCCCGTGCCCCCTCCCTCATCCCACCATTGGCTCATCAGTTATCCAGTTGCCTCCACTCTTCAAGGAAGACATTCCCCTGGCCTGACTCACTCAGTCCCATTTCTCCACAGGCATCCCCTCACCGCAGACCACAAGGGCCCTGACTAGCTCATGTTTTGTGTTAATGGATGTGAAATCGGAGCAAACCCCCTTGCCAAAAGAAAAACCACCCCAAACTCTCCCACACAGGTCTCCACAGGTTACACAAATATTAGTCCTATCATCCAAATAAATCTGCCCCCCTATCCCAGAGCTATGGCTCCTTCTGCTGCCTGTGCAGAGTGAAGCTGTTCCACAAACATGTGAGGACCCCAAGGGATGTTGGAGAGGAACTTGGGAGAGGGGGAGGCTACACTGAGAATTCCTCGGGTAGGCCCCTGAATCCACAGCCTGCTGTCAGTACTTGACTGTCCTTAGGTGAAGGCTCTGAAGTAAGTCATGATGGGCGAGACCAGATAGCGGCTTTGGTGAGAGTATCTGTTGTCTAGAGTTTGGAGCTGTAATTATGCTCAGTATCTGAGATAGTTTTATACCCTCATTTTACAGATGAGAAGGTAGAGGCTCAGAGAATTTGAGTCTCTTGCTTAAAATATCAAAAACAGCTGTGATTCCAACCCATGTCTGTCATAACTGCAAATTTCTACAGTATTCTCCTTTAAGATATCAGTGGGAAGAGATAACCACTGTTCAAATCACATAAAAATAGGACATCACAGTTTTGGAGACTTCATTTCGTACCCTCTAGCTTGCCTCTGGAGACTCAGCTACCGCAAGCTGATTTAGGGAGCGGGTAGTAGCATAGAAGGAACTCCCCTGCGGAAGCCAAACATGGAAGGAACAACAGTCATCATCGCCAGGACGTGGAGAGTCGCTACATAAAGACGAGTTCTTGCTGAGGGGGGAGAAAATCAGTGGGGGAAGGCTGCTTTCTAAGATGCTCAGCACTTTGGCTCCAAGCCCCAGCTCTCCTTCCCTCGTAGTCATGGATCCCACTACCAGCGTCAAAGGCTAGGATCCTCTCCTAAAAATTGCCAAAGCTGGAGATCTCGATCTGCTTACGATACACGGAGGCCTATTGTGGACCCTCGAGATCAGGACTGCTGCCCTCTCCCGCCTCCACAAGTCCTATACCTTTTTCTCGGTGTTTCTTCAACGTGGCTGGACATAAGAATAATGCGTGGGAATTTTAAAAACAATCCCAAGGCTTACTAAATCACTCTTTCTCAGGATGTTCCAGGGTATTCTGATGATCTGTTAGGCACGGCTATCACTGCCTGCCACTCATCTAAACAGGCAGCAAGTGAGCCCAGGGAGTAGTGCTGTCTGATGTAGGCTGAAAGGAGAGAGAGATGGGAAGAGAATGGATGTTTGTATAGTTATGTAATATTTCCCCTTACAAAACACAGCAGTTTAGAAACACGTGAGCATATGAATGGAACCTTGTCCACTGTGGCTAACTCTCATCTAACTCTCAATAATGAAAGAATGTTGTAGCCTAAGAGGTTTTTGGAGGGTACCAGACAGTCTGCTCAAACTGACCTAGGGAAGAGATAAGTGGTTTCATCTCTGTCCTATCTACCCTCAGCCAGGTAGGAGCGAAAGGAAGCGCTCTCCGGGTACCTTTCCTCTTGTACACACAGAAGTGTCCGTAGGCCAGTGCAGGGGAAAGAAGACACGAGCCTCGACCACATGCTTTAGTGCAACTCATATCACACCTACACCTCTTCCACTCTCCCTTCTAGCCTCCAGAGCAGGGAGTTGGAGCTGCTCAGTTTCTTACGTCCCCTGTCAACTCCTTCCAAGGGCTAAGGAACCAGCCAGGACACCAGAGTCCCTCTGGATCACTCTCCAAGTCCTTAAATAGAAGCTGTAGCAGCCCAGGGTTGAGGGTGGTGGAAGGTGTGCATGCAAAGATCTTGTGCTTTCGAGTCAGGAGGTTTGAAGTGGAGGGATGAGTGAGGTATTGACATGTTCAGGTCTGGTCCAGCCACTCTGCCTTCTTGGGGGCCTTGCAGGTGTGGACGTCCACAGTGTTTCTGCACTCCTTGCACCGCACGGCGCAGCACCAGTGGAATTTGCACTCACACTGGGTGACACGGGTGACTCGAGTTGTGTCATACCCTCGGCCACAGCACATGATTTCACAGCCGTCTGTCCCTTTAGATGTCTTGCTGCAGACACGGCCTGCAGTGCCTAGAGAACCTGGATTGGGGTGGGGGCGGGGGGGGGTGGGGAGAGAGAAAGAGAGAGAGAGAGAATATGAATCAAGGTACCTCTTACTTCAGCTGCTCTGGGTTCCCTTACCCACATCCTCCTGAGGAAACCATAAAGAATCTCTTTTCCTGAAAATATACCCACTAGCCAAAATGATCATCTCCTCATGGCCCTCTACACCAGCCTCGTTTCCTCCCACCAGCAAGGCCACCTCAAGACCACTGACTTCACCTGCCGTGCCCTCCCTGCCAGCACACATCTCCAGACCCCCTTCAAGGCCTAGCCTTAAAATGCTCATCATTGTTAAAGCTGGCTGAAGGCCCTCTCTTTTATGTTTGAATTTTCCCATAATAAGGAGTTAAAAGAAATAACAGCCTATAATTTATCTTTTCCAAGAAGTCTTGCCACAACTCTGATCCAGCTACTATTTGTTAGTATTTTGGTCCTTAGTTTATATTTTATTAAGTTGTACTATACAGGGAAGTAGTATAGTATGGCCATTAAAAGCTGGGCCTGGTATCAGAGTGTATAGGTTTAAATCCCATTCAGCCACTTTTTAGCTATGTGATTTACAAGTTAGTTAATCTCTCTGGGCTTTGTTTTTCTGGACAATAGGCATAATAATAGCATCTAACTCAGTGGATTGTTGTGTTTTATCTACAATCTCTGTTCAATGGAGGAGGTGAACTGATTGGCATGACTGGCTGGAAGCACACCCCTAAGGAATTCCTAAAGACCCTACAGGGGGGACTCTCGAAGGGTAGGGGAGATGCTTTCCCTCTGCACAGATGATGCTCAGGACCTCAATCTCACTGATATTAGCACAGGAGACCCTGCCAACAGACCATAAAGCCAAAGAATTCTGGATGGGATGGACCCTAGGCGTATCTCCTCTAGCCCTTTCCCAGAGATGGGAAACTGACTAGCCTGGGGGTTCAACAAGGGGAATCAATTAACTGATTTCTATAGCAGCAGTCTGACATTCCACTGGGATATGAGAAGAAAATACAAGAACCTCTATCTTTGTTTTTTACCTCATCAATTTAAAATATCGATTCTGTATTGTTTATAATATACATATTATATTTGTATAACATGTATATTAGTATACTATAGTTTATATATGTAGTTTATAAGTAACTATCCATATATTGGAGGTGTATGCTCAAATTTTTTTATACGCTAGGAATATATAATCCAAATGTCAAGAGACCACTGCTTGGGGCATGGGCTGGCTAGGTCTCCTATGCATGTTACTCTCATAACTGCAAGGGCTGGGTCTTAAGTCCTTCCTGGGCATCAGAAGTCTCCCCTACCCTCTGGAGCTGAGTTATCTGGTGTAGTAGCCACTAGCCAAATGTGCTCATTTAGAGTTAAAAGAATTAAAATTAAATAAATTTTAAAACTTAGTTCCTCGGGCACACTAGCTGTATTTCAAAATAGTCATCACATGGCCCAGTTGGTGTGGCTCAGTGGTTGAGTGTCAACCTATGAACCAGGAGGTCACGGTTCAATCCCTGGTCAGGGCATATGCTTGGGTTGTGGACTCAATCCCCGGTGTAGGGCATGCAGGAGGCAGCCGATCAATGATTCTCTCATCATTGATGTTTCTCTCTCTCTTTTTCCTTCTCCCTTCCTCTCTGAAATCAATAAAAATATATTTTAAAAAAATAGTCATCACATGTAGCTAACTGGCTAGTGTATTAGCCCTAGAACATTTCCATCGTCACAGAAGTTCAGTTGCACAGCACTGCCCTGGAGGGAATTCTACCCTCTGGGATGACTTGGACCCTTTGAATTCCAGAACCCACTTTGGGTTTTATGAGCCTTAATTTTATGCCTCTGAGAAAAAGCAACATACATATGACTCATCCTAACTCCAAAGATTCTTCCCCAAATGTGTATTTTAGGTGTATGCATAGGCTTACACCTCAGAGGTTTTGGAATGATTTCCAGCATTGGGAAGTAGTCCTCTCAGTTACTACGTGGGCAGGAAATATACCCAGCCCCGCTCTATGTCTATGCCAGTTTTGCTCTGAGCCACTTGACTCTCAGTAAGGACAGTTATGGGTGAAAAGCAGTACCAAAGACAGCCGAGGCTTCTGAGTCCACCCCACCTCAGCCGAGTCTGATGGTTGGGTCTGCAGGGAAGAGCCTGGGAGTCCAAGGCAGTTCCCAGGGAAGAGCAGTTCTGTGGCATTGCGCATTGTTCCTAGATTAACCTATCTGAACCCGAAACCTGAGCCCAGATGGTGACTTCCATTCTTTTGGGGTAACATCATTTCACTTTCCAGCACCCCAACAATCCCTCCACAATATCTGGCACAGATGTTTGCTGCTCCCTGCTAGTGGTTTGCCTGGCAGGAACCTCCGCTTTCCTTGCCTTCCTAGCCCCCCTTTAGACGGTTCAGTGGCAGTCATGGGATAAGCCTTTCAAGGCCACTGATGGTCTGATCCCAACTGTCCTTCTACCTTTAACCTCCTTCACCCCAACTCTCCACTTGGGATATTAATCTGCTCTCTGTTCCTGGAACAGATCGTGCACCACCTACCATTCTGCTCTGTGTAGACGATGTCACCTGTCCCCTCTAGCACCCAGATAATCCCCACACCTCAAGAAACAGCTTACATTCCACATTTGCAGCTCAGCTCCTCTTGCTTTCTCCAGTTGTCTCTCTTTTGCAGTTGCATCTGTCTACCTGTTATATCTCATTTCTTAGCTAGATTGTAAAGAGCCAATGACTTGGGGCTGCATCTTATGCTTCGGTGTGGTCCATGCATTGCTTGGTACTGAGATACTGAGAACAGGTGACTTATTTAACATTCACTGAGTAGTATCTATCACATCTGTATACCAAACAGACCTCAGGCCTGAAGGAGCTGAGCGGCCTCTCCTCTCTGCTGGGGCAGCACTGGGCCTGGCGGACCGAGGCATAAATCATCAATCTCATTATGAGGTTTTTCATATCAGGAGGAGACTAATTCCTCCCTCAGCTCCCCTCCCTAACTCCTGAGGCTGAACAAACCGTGACTACCCAGGGGTGCTTGCACTAAGAACTGGGTCTCGATGCCCCCACCTCCCCATCTGCTTTCTCTACCCACCTGCAGCCTTGTCCAAGACACAGTAGTCTGGGGAGTTGTCAAAGTAGACAAGATCAGTCCGGGTGGCACGGCGATAGCCTTGGCGGGCTGCTGTGAAGTTGGCGCCATCCTGGGTTGCTGTCACCTGCACAGCCCCATCATAGCGCCGCCGCAGGTAATCACCTGTGCGGCGGAAGTCTGAGAGCGCACGCCAGCAGGTGCGCAGAGTACAGGAGCCACTCACGCCATGGCACTTACACTCCAGCTTCAGAAACCGCCGTACAGCCTGGGAGGTGGGAGGTAGGTAAAGGAGAGGCAGCCAGTCAGGGCACTTAATCACCCCTAGGACTGAAAACATGAGGGCTCTGCAGGCTGCGGGACCTGGTTCCGGCTAGCTAGTGCAGCCATTGGTCAGTCTTTCCCCATCCATCCCACCCATTCTTCCTGATCAAATGCAAGAACCTCTCCTTCCAGGAAGACTTCCTGGACCAGCAGTGCTCTCCTTTTTATGACAGGCCATTGGAACTTTAGGGCCACAGGACTCTGTTTATGATTACAGGACACTGGCACATCATGTGTTTTGGAGTTCAGGGTATCATGCCTTCTCCTTCTGTGGCATGTCACTTTCCAGCAAGGACCAGGCACAGAGGAGGTGCTCAGAGACCAGTGAACAAGCCCTTCTCCTCCTCAATCGTTATGGAGGCAGCTTTTTCCTTCTTAAAGAGTTAACTTCCCTTCCTTTCTCCGTCTCCCCCTGATTTCCTCCTATGTGAAGACCTTGTGTACCTGGCTGCACTGCGGCATTCGCAAGCTCCCTGTGTTTCCTGCTCCTGTCCCAAGGGGTCGGGTCTTTTGGAAGTGACCCAGAGCCGTCAGCACTTCCTCCTTCGCATTTATCCCGTGATCATACATAGGGTCGCCCCCAGCAAAGAGGAAGGCACATGCTGACGTGAATACTGACCGTGCGACCACAGCGGTTGTTATGTAAGTTCATGAGGGCCCGGGCATCCTTGAGCCTCTTCTCCTTGGCATCCACGAAGGCCTTGGCAAAGCGAACGCCGTAGTGTATGTTGTCACTGCAGCCACCCCAGTCAAAGTCCCCACGTTGATCATGGTGTCGGCCACGGGTATAGGGGTCACAGCTGCACACACTCAGTTCCCCCTGGCTACAGGCGCGGGTGATAGCATGAACTACCCCTGCTGACGAGATGGCATATACAAACGCTGCCTCCCGGCTGCCTAGAGGGAGGAACGGAGAGTGTGTCTCAGCAAGGAGGCCCACAGAACTGCGACTGAAATCTCTTCGTTTCGTAGAGCAAGCCCTGTACCCTCTTGACTCAAATGGCCCTGATCCCTCCCCTAGCCTTCACTACTTTCCAGCCACTTCTTTGTACATCTGACCTCTTGGGCTGACCTGGGCTCTTGCTTCCTTCCAAACTCCTTGGATGTATCCATGACCAAGTTGCGGGTGTCCACCCCTCCCACTGAGTGCAGTCCTGGCTCAGCTAAGCCTGTCTCGGTCCACAGTCCATGCCTGTTCAGGCCCACTCTGCTGGACAGTTCCCAACAGGGGACACCCCGGCCCAGGGGTCAGCCCATTTGAAGTGACAGGCTACTTTCCGCGCCTGTTTCCTTCCCTCTCTGCTCTCCCGGATCAATGACCCATCTCTCTTGTCCTTCTGACACCTTTGGGTTCCCATCTCATTCCCTTTCTCCTAGTTTACTGTCTAGCTCTGCTTAGCTTTATTGCTGAGCTGGGGCTAAGCTGCTGACTCTCCAAATATTTATGTATCACCTTTCTGTTTATCTTTGCTCCCATTACTGTAGTGTTGGGAGTATTGGAGTGAGGGGAGTGAATGTGTGATAAGAACCTAGTCCTCAGCCTGACAGTGCTGGGGGTTGGGGAGGGACGGGAAAGGGAAGAAGAAAGATGGAATGCCGCTCCTTTGTCCCATCATCCCAGAATACTGGGACCTGGAAGGACCCCTGGCTACATATCTAAAGTACTGAGGGTCTGTTCCCAACTGTATCCTGCGCTCTGCCCACAACTGTTTCTCTGATGATGAAGAAGTGTGCAGGAGAGGGAGAGGGGATTGCGCCTACCCGACCCACTCACCACCCCAAGCACAGGAAGGGAAGGAAGAGCTGGGCAGGGTGGAAGAGGCCCCTACTTCTGAGCATGACACGGCCAAAGACAGTGTGGTCCCGGTCCAGGGTGGTGCAGTTCCAGCGGTGGTGGCGGAACTGGTGCTGACACTCTCGGATCCATTCTCGGGCACCCTCGCCCACCGAGCGCATGATGTCTGGGTAACGCTGGCACAGCTGCCGCTGCCGGCTCACCAGACCAGGGATATTGTTACAGATCACTCGGGCCCCCAGTGCCCCGATGTACCTGCAAGGTGGAGATGGCCCTGTCAGAGCATTCGGCCCTTTTTCTGCATCAGGACAGGATTAAGGAAGGGAAGGCTTGGCATTCAGACCCTGGAGTGGTGCCTTCCCCTTTCCCAGCCCACATTCCCTGAGGCTGATGGATAGAACCGGTCCCCACAAGCTCCGGAGAAATAGCTCTACAGTTGCAGAGAGAGTAATTGAGTGGTCTCCCAGCATCGCCAGTTCCCCTGCCAAAGGCCAAAGTGACACACACTCCCAGAATGCAGGCCAGGCATGTGTCACGTACACAGAAAGCTGTGGGCATGTCACATAAACCCATTGCCTGTTTATTTAACAAACATTAAGAGCCTCATGGAAAAATAAACTAACAAAACGAGAGTCTGAGATAACACTCTTACTCCCACATGTAAGAGGCACATCCTGCGTGGCTGGTCCATGAAGACATGGTTTGGGGGAAGAAGGATGGAGACAGGGAGGGGCCAGTGGGAAGAGACATCAAGGGCAGCTCTGAGTAATGTTTATAGCCCTAGTCAGACCCATGCAGCTAAGATCCTCATTCCCAATGCCGAGATCTGGGGAGGAGACCCCACTCCCAGCTCTCTTCCCCTTACTCTTTATTTCCAGGCCAATGGCCTTTTGTAGCTTCTGAGTCTTGATTCTTTCAAAATCCTCTTCCCCAACTTATAGGGCAGGGTGTCCTGCATGGGCAGAGGGCTGTTGCTGTGGGAAGCCAAAGGCCAAGGTAAAGCAAGAGGGTGACACTCCCCATATTCCAGTCCCCAATCTGCCCCTTATGAACTATTATAAGAAGATCATTTGGCTACTAAAAGATAGGTGGGTTGGTAGAGTCATTCTCAGATTTCTCCCGGCAATCTTTTCATTCAAACACTCTTAGCCCGGACTCCACCACCAGCCCAGAGAGAAGACCAGAGTGTATCATCACTTTTTCTCCCCACAAGGCCACCAAATGAGATCTGACCCACCCACCCACTCCTTACTCCCTTTCTATCTCTCCAACACCTTCCTTGATTTGCTGGGAATTCACCATTCTCCTGTCCTAACACATCAAGGGACGCCTTCCCTCCCCTTTTCTGAACAGGTGGGAGGCCTGCTTTTCTGCTGCTATAACAGAAAAGATTTTGGTGTGGGCTGTGAATGAGCCTGTGGTTTGGGAAAGCCCCCCAAATGGGCCTAGAAGTGGGTGAGGGGAAGGGCGGGTGGCCAATGGGTAAAGGGGAAAAGCTGGGCTGCCCTGGGCTCTATGAACCCCCTCCCCCCAGTTCACACACTCCGCCCTCACCCATAGACTGGATCACCACTGGTGATACCAACTCAAACAAACACAAGGAGGGCTGATGCCTCTTCTGGAACTCAGCAGGGCTGATGGGGCCCATCTGTCCCGGGGGAGGGGTGAGAGGGCTGACCAGACACTGAGAAATCCCATGGAATCAGCGTCCCCAGCACTGTCCATCAGGGCAACAGCTTCCAGGAACAAACAAAATAAACACCCCGGTCTGGGCCAGGCCGGAAAAGGCCGCCTGACGCACAGCCCGGAGTTACACCCACTGCTGCGGTGCTTTGTTTGGAGATTCAAGACGGTTGGAGTTGGAGCTCGTCCCTGTCTCACCACCATTCTGCTTCCCCAGTTCAGCCCGGAGTATCGCCCTATGCAATGGGTGTTTGTTTGTTTTTTACTGGGGCTTGGGAAGAGGGGGGTTGGATGGGAATGGGAGACCAGTCATCCAGCCCTCATGAGACAGTCTGGAGTGAGGCAGGCCAAACTCTGGCAAAAAGTCCTTCCTGTGGTCTGACTTAAATCCATTCTGCTGTAGCCCACACTGGTCCTTCTTGTTAACATCCTCACTGAACGTGGGAACATCTGTTCAGTATCTAAGATGGGAAGAATAAATAAGTTTCTCCTACTACCCGCCTCACCCCACCAAGTGGCTGCTTCAAGATTCTACAGAGCAGGCGCTTGCCTGCTGACCACGGTCAGCCCCTTGTAGTTGGTGTGGGGACCTCCAATAAAACTGAGCCCGAGCCCCAGCCCATCCCCTTCTCAGCACATGCCTGCAAAATGCCTACCGTGTGCCAAGCACTCAGCTCAGCTGTTAGGGTCAAAGAGATGTTGAAGGCATCCCCGGCTCATGGGCTGGTAGTGGTGAGATACCCCTGACCCTCTGGCTTTGTTTACCCATCCAGAAGTTTCCCTTCCTTCCCAGCTTCCTGCCCCAGAACGTTTTCTTCACCTGCTTTTGACCCATTTACATCCCTCCCTTTGACAGAGTGACTCCTATCCTACTCTGTATGCTGGCCCTGCTACTCCAGGTGTGGTCCCCAGAACAGCAGCGTTCACATCGCCTGGGGATCTGTTGGAAGAGCAGAGCTTCAGGCCCCAGTCAGAGAGGCTGCACCTTACCAACACCCAGGTGATCTGCGTGCACTGCTCCGCGAAGGCAGGGATTTGTGTCTGTTTTGTTCACTTCAATACCCCCAGTGCCTAGAACAGTGTGTGGCACATAGTAGGTACTCAATAACTATTTGTTGACTAAACCTAACTGCTCTGATATACCCCCTACTTTCTTCTCCCCCCAGCTAGTCATAAACTTCATTTCAATTATAGCGTTACTCCTTGTGGACATTGCCAGCATATTTGCACATGTTTTGTTTGTGTCTTGTTAATGAGGTCAGGGAGCCTCTTTTTATTTCCTCTTTTCTTTTATAGTCCCTAGTGCACATGGTTCAGTCCAGCTCATATAAAGCTTTGAACAGAGGGATAAAACTATTACCTTCCCTTAATCTCTTAATACATCATTTATATGGTACCTTACAGTTTATGAAACATTTTTCTATACAACAATCCTGTGAGAAAGAGAGAGATCTCCATTTAACAAGTGAAGAAACTGAGGTTCTGGGAGTAGTAAGTGATAATAGCCAGCTCTGTCCATCAGAGCTAGTCAGGGGAGAACTAGGTGAACTCCAGCGTCCACAGTCATCTTCACTCCAAGGGAGGCTTAGCCAGGAGTGGGCTGATCTGACTTCAGAATGGGTTGAACTTGGGTTTCATGCCATTCCCTCCTATTCCTCACTTTCTTCTTATGTGAAATGGTGATAATAACAGTACCTGGATTATTGGGGGGACTGAAGATGATGATGTTCATAAAGTGTTTAGCCAGAGTCTGGAGCTTAGTAACAGCTCATTATGTGGCAACAATATTGCTAATGTTATGATGCCACTCTGTTCCTCTCCCTTTGTGAATCCATGACATGTCCAACCTGTGCAAAATGGAACAGGAAGCACATGCCAGGAGCCTGTTCCTTGTTTGTTATAGAGTCTGAAGAGACCATCTCTTCCTCCTCTAGTTAGAGGAGGAGAGGGGAGCAGTGGTTGGAAAAGAAGGGAAGGGCTGTGAGGAAGAGCAGCCTGTTTGCTGCTGAGAGCGATGACTGCTCCAGAGTGGGACAGGGATGCACACAGCCCACAGCATCTCCTCTGGGGGTTGTACCAGTCTTGCTGGGGTTTCCCTATGGGAAAGAGAGAGAACCCCCTTGGGGGTCTGACCAGCCTTTAGAAAGCAGCTTTCCACTTTATCCCAGAAGTGATGCCCACAGAGGCAGGCACCAGGGCCCTGCAGGTGTGCGGCCAGGAGTGGAACTACCCTCTGCACTCACTCCCCGTCCTGGCCTGCTGCTGCCTCCCTCCCGGCACAGGGACTGCTGGATCCCTCTGCTTCACCCGCCTGCTTCCCACCCAGGACTTTTTTCAAAAACTTTAATATGAACCACGTGGGGGGCACGTAGTAGAGGCAGAAAGGAAGAGGCGGAGACAGTCGCCACGGGGACAAAATGGGGACTAGAACTCCAGATGGGTCTTTGGGAACCACCTCCAGCAAGCTGACACTACCAGACTGACTTGACACTCCTCACTAAACACCACATGGTCCCCAAGACAGCATCCCAAACTGGAAGGAAGGCATTGCGAGTTCCTAGAAGCAAACTGCCATCTGGGTGGATAAAGATGTGCAGTGGCCACTTCATCCTTTCTCTGCTGGGCCACTGAGGGTGCTTGTCCCCAGTCAAACAGCCCTGAAGGTAAAGGATGGCTTTGTGCTCACTTAGAACTTTGAAAGGCTTTTCTCCTCATCCCCCTTCTTCCCTTTCTAAAGGAATGTTTCAAGCCAGATGTAAGATATGGGCCTCCCTTCTCCATCCAGAACCCCCCTCCTTGCCTTCCACAACACTGCAGAGATTTGAAAAAAAAAAAATCCAGAAGAGATTTTTCTGAAACAGGAAAACGGGGTGGGGGGTGGTGGTGAGAGACGCATCTTGAAATGATAGGAATCTGCCGCCCAAGCTTGCTGGCCCCTCAGCCAGTACCCCTCACCCTTCCAAGCCAAGATTCCAAGTCCTGAGGAGAAAAGCCACAGGGTGGAAGGGGAGAAGAGACCACCCTGAGGTGGGGGGGCGGGGGAGGGAGGAAAGGTTAGGGAGGGGGCAGAGTGAAGACAGGAAGGCGGCACTGCATTGGTAAAGAGGGCCAGGAGCCCAGTCCAAGAGCCACTGTGGGGGGGGGGGGGGGCGGTGAAGAGGAAAGAGAAGACTTTTCTCAGTCCAACTCTCCCCCCCTGCCCTGCCCCCAGAAGGAGAAAGATGAGTGCCATCCAGGGACTGGGAGCAGGGGACTCAGGAAAGAACAGATATCTAGTCGGTTTGTAATGCCTTTTGGCTCATCTGCCCTCTTGTGAAGTGTCTGGAGTGTAAGGCCTGCAAGAAATCTAAGGGGAGGGTCTCAATATTTGGGGGCCAGAGGCGCCTAGTTCTCGGAGGGGAGAGACATGTGGGGAAGAAAAGAGGGAAGCTGGAAAGGAGATAGCAAGGTTCGAATTGACGTCCTTAAAATGGAGCCTGAAGGCAGAGCCTAATGATGCAAGCCCAGTGTTTTATTTTAATTGCGGGAGTCAATGGGCTCCACTTCTAACCCTTGCGCTGGGTGCCGCCGCCGCACCGAAGCCTTGCTGCGCGACCTGACCGAAGGGGTGGCCTAGCGAGAGGCTCCTCCACCCGCGCGCAGCCCCTTCCTCCACCTCCCAGGGCAGCGGCCATGGGTGATCAGGGGTTCCTGCTGGACGGTCACCGAAGGCCCCAGAGAGGCGGTTGCTTTCTTGAATCCACCCTGAGCGAAATTCGGAAGGTAGCTTTTGCCCTAAAAGGGTTGAGCTGAAGTATGAGCACGGCATATGGGGTTCTGGAAAGCCTCGACCACCGGCGTCCTTGCTCCAAATACTCTGCACCCACCTCCTCGGCGGCGCTCCTCGATCTCCCCGCTGCCGCCCCACCTCCGCCACGCCGCAACTTCAGTGACAGCCCTGCGGGACGTCTCACTCGGTGGAACCGACAACCTGGTCTCCTGAGCTGCGGGGTGCCGGGGCTGTGTATTCCTCCCAGCCTCCGGCCTCTCCGACCCAGAGCTTCACCCTCCCAACCCGGAGAGTCACACTCACCACCAGGACGTGTCTACGCGGGCCGGCAGCGTCAGCAGCAGCAGCAGCAGCAAGCAGGCAAGGCTTAGGCGGGCCGCAGCCCGGGAGCCGTCGGGGGCCGCAGGTCTGGGCGCGGGCGCGGGACAGGAGCGCGGGCGCGCCGAGGGGGAGCTGCGCGGCGTCCTCCGCACCACCCAGCTTCAGCATAGCTCCCCAAGACTCTCGCCGCGCGGCCCGGAGGGCGTGGACGCGGCACCGGCTGGGGGTACTCAG